CTTGCCTATATTGAAAAGAACATGTTTAATTTTCCCAAACTTACATATAAGACATTCACTCAATGAGTCTTTGTTGGGAGCCTTTTGTTGAGCCATGACCTGTGATAGGTTCCTGGTCTATGGCTTATAAATAAAGTACTCTTATGCCCTCCCACCTTAAGAATGAGAGCAGACAATGAGAATGCAATTTCAAGAATGTTGGTGGCTTAATAAAACATTGTGCTGGGATCCAGGAGTTCATTTGTCTTCACAACAGTCCTGTGAATTAGCAGCTATGAAGCCCTGCATTTTATATTTTGGAAAAGCAAGGCAGAGCCAACATTGAGACTACATATATACATACATACATACATACATACATACATACATACATACATGTCTTATACTCTCAAAATAGTATGCCACTACAAAAATCTCAGTCTCCTTTGGCACATAAACATTTTTATATTAGTGGGGAGAGAATAAGCTTATGGAAGTGCTTCCAAAATCCAGACTGCCCTGAGAAAGGAAATTCTCACTTTAAAGACAGGAATGAAGTCACAGAGGCCACTTCAGAACCTGTTTCACTCTAGGACCCTCCTCTATCTATTCCAGTTTTGGACCTCTTTCTATAGCACCTTCCTACTGGCTGAACTATTAAATCATAGAGGTCCAAGGCTGAAAGGACTTCAAAGATTATGTAGTCTGTGCTGGCTGGTTTTTTGTCAACTTGACACAAATCAGGGTCATTTGGGAAGAATGAACTTCATTTGAGAAAAATCCCATCATCGTTTCACTTGTGGGCAAGTCTGTGGGCTCATTTTCTTACTTAATGATTGATATGGGAGAGCACAACCCCCTGAAAGTGGTGCACCTCTGGGAACATGTTCCTGGATAGTATAAGAAAGCAAGTTGAGCAGGCAAGGAATCAGAGTTCCCCTGAGGCCTCTGTTTCAGTTCCTGCCCACAGGTTCCGGCCCTGAGTTCCTGCCTTGGCTTCCCTCAGTGGACTGTGACCTGGGATGTGTAAACCAAATAAACACTTTCCTCTCTAAGATGCTTTTGGCCATGTTCTTTTATTACAGCAACAAAAACAAAACTAAGACTGTAGTCCAAGTCTTCCTGTGACAGTACCATCTGGAAGCTCTTCAATAGCCTATCCCTTGAATACTCCTTTAAAATTACAAGTGCTGGGCTGGAGAGATGGCTCAGTGGTTAAGAGCACTGCTTGTTCTTCCAAAGGTCCTGAGTTCAATTCCCAGTAACCACATGGTGGCTCACAACCATCTGTAATGAGATCAGGTGCCCTCCTCTGGTGTGCAGGCAACATGCAGACAGAACACTGTACACATAATAAATAAATAAATCCTAAAAAAAAATTACAAGTGCTACCTACACCATGATCCCAGTAAGGCCCAGTTCTTAAGTGGACTGAGAATTTACTACAACCAAAGTAACTGCAGAGAAAAATAGACTAAACAAGGCAGCACTGCCTTGCTGGTCCCTCATGAAAAAAAAAAAAAAGAGAGAGATTAACATGCTGCAAAAAACTGCCTTCCAACATAGGATATGTTGATGTCTGAGTGCGGTAGGAAATGTCTTCAATGCTTAGCCAAAATCGCACTGCTCCAAGGCAGGCTGCTCTGACCATGGACTTCTTCAGTCTGCTCGTGCTCCACTCTTCCATATCCTGGCAAACAGTGCCTGCATCCTTCACATTACTTTGGCCAAAATCTGTGAGTTACTCTTGTTGCCTCCCTCTTCCTTGCCCCCACAGCCAATCAATTATCAAACCTCATTGATTATACCTCCAAAATACATCCCTATTTCATGTGTTTCTCTCCATGACAGCTACCCATATCTGAACACTGTAACGTCCTATCTGGAACCTGTCCTCCTTCCTTCACAATAGTTACAGGCACACACACACACACACACACACACACACACACACACACACACACATCCATTAACCAAACAATAACCATAGTGATCATCTAGAAAAAGTCATGGCACTTTCTAGCTTACCCTTACGATTTCCCACTGCTGGCAGAATCCCATTAGAAATTCCACCTGCCACTGTAACTGGGTCTCGGTCCACTTCCTAGCTTGTTATCACACCAATATTCCATTTTGTTTCTGCCTCAGTGACCACCTTTCAATTCCTGCCTGCCCTAGGGCTCCCAGCTTTCATTCTGGAGTGGCCCCTGCACTGGCTTTCTCCACCACCTTCTTTGTCCAATTTAAATTCTTCCCGAAAGAGTCAGCTTTAGTGTCACTGGCCACAGAGGTCTTTTGTGTTTTCCCTATGGATATTAGTTCCCCATGGGAGCTATGACTTCAGACATCAGAAACTCATAGAGCTTGAAAGTCTAAATTAACCTTGCCTTAAGTACAATATTCAGATATCATCAGAAATGTGTTTGGCTTCAACTCTTCATCTAGTTTTTTTTTCTATTTTTGTTTAGTTAGTTTGCTTGTTTTATTGTTGATGATGCTGTTTTCTGAGATAGAATTTCGATATGTAGATGAGGCTGACCTCAAACTTTGAATAATCCTGCCTCTGCCTCCCAAGTGATAGGATTACAGAACACTCGAGACCACATCTAGCTTAGCATCTTATAGTCAACAAATATTTGGTACCTACTACAACTCAAACATTATCCTAGCTACTGGACAATGTATCAGTGAAGAAAAAGATAAACTTCTTGCCTTCAGGGGCTGTCATTCTATAAAGAAGAAACAAGCATTCACAGACACACAAACAGATAATAAATACAATAAACAACTTTGGGTTCTATAGCCAAAGGGCAATCTACCACAAATTGATTTTTAGAAAAAAAAAGTTGTATCTGTACTGAGTAAGTACAGAATTTGTTTCCTGGTTATTGTTCCCTAAATAATTAGCTGTCTCTATACTGAGTATGTACAGAATTTTTTCTAGTCACTGTTCCCTAAATAATGCTGTATAACAATTACTTATGTAATACTTATCTTAAGTATATGAGTAATCTAGTTATAGTTTAATGTGCATAGGAAGGTGTAGGTAGGTTATATGTAAATACTGTGCCATTTTGTAAAAAAGCATTTTAGTAGCTATTGATATCTGGAATGGAGTCCTGGAACCAGTCTCCTCTTGGAAACTGAGGGATACTGCTCTTAGAAAATGTACCTGATAAGAATGAGAACTAGAAAAGGACAGGCAGATTGGGAACTGGAGGTTGCAATTTTAAATAAGGTGACATTGAAGACATCTACAAGAAGGTGGCATTTGATCCAAGCTTTGATGTGAGAGTTAGCCTAGTAATTACATGAAACAGAATCTTCTGTCATGAATGACTAGAAGAAGGTGCCCACGAGTGCCTGGTATCCTGAGTGGGAGAGAGGACAGGGAGGGCCAAGACCCAGCCTAGACTGAAGGTTTGAGAAGAAGAGTTAAAGTCTCTTCTAGTCTTAAAACTTATAGTCTCAGGGAGCTGTCCCTGCCCGTCTCCAGCTGCAGCTGCACTGGGGAGAGTGGCCGCTGACCTCACCAGGGCAACACAGTAGAGCTGGCCCTGAGGGATGAAAGCAGGAGAACTGGCCCTGCCCCTGCTGCAAGGGGTAAACTAGCCAGGGCAATGCTGGAGAGCTCCCCCTGGTGGTGAGGACAGGGGATAGCTGGTGGCTGACCAACCTTGCAATTACCCAGACCCAAAACCAGAGTTATGAGTTGGCCCACCTCAGTATCCACCCCATCTCTGATCTGCTGGAGCATGTGAAGGGACCAGTCCTGCAGACCCAAAGCTGTAGGATCTCCACAACACAGAGCAAGCACAGGATATTCAAGAGGAGTCCTAGTGAGGGCCCAGAATAGATAGTGTAGCAGAAACCAGAGTTTTCAAACCAGACCAATGCCTCTTTGCAATGAACTCTTGCAAATAATGATATAGGTATAAAAGGGCTTACTGTGTGACTCACTGTGTCACACAACAGCTTCCATGATGACGCTGATTTTTCCTTTTGATTTTTCTTTTTTCTCTTACATTTTATTTTATTTGGAGGGGGTGCTGCAAGAGCAGAGGGCAGATAAGAAGGGACGGGGAAATGAATGGGATAGAGACACATGATGTGAAAGACACAAAGAATAACTAAAAAGAAAGTTAAAAAGCAAACTGAAGTAGTAAATGTTTAAATACAATTTTAAGGTATATTTTCCCATGTTTGTGTGATATTTAACATGTGCAATTTACATAAGGGTACAAGTGAAACCAGCTCACTAGGAGACAAAGGGAAGAGGAAGGGGAGAAAGGGGATTGCTGGGGCATGGAGAAGAAATGTGTTCAACATACAATATACACTTGTAAAAAACTTTAAAATATGTTTTTAAAACTGTCATAAATTCTGAGATTCACTGTACATACTGTATTGAGCAAGAGATTTCAAAGAGGGTAGGAATAAAAGAAGGAATCTGATAAAAATTGCTGTACCAGACATACATGTGGTTCACTGAAAGGAGGCAAACCACCTACAGTATTTTAAACATATATGGCATATGTATAAAATAAAATACATATTTAAAAAGGCAGAAGAAAGACAACCAACTCCTGAAAAGTTACCTCTGATCTCCAAATGTGTAATAGGTGCTCTCTCTCTCTCTCTCTCTCTCTCTTTCTCTCTCTCTCCTCTCTCTCTTTGTCTCTCCCTCTCTTTCTCTCTCTCATGAACACATGTAGAACACACACATACTCCCCCCCTCTAATAGGTATGTATGTGGGACACACACAATTGAGTAACAATTCAAAGATTTCAAAGCCAAAAGAGTTAAGTGATTCAATTCAGTGACATATAAACCATAAGTGACAAAGTCAAGAAGCTAGGCCTTCCAAGTTGACACTTTGCTTGAGATTTTACCAAGAGTGAGGAAAGGCAGAAGAAGGATGGAGAGGGAGAGGGTGCTAAAGGGGGTAGAGAGAATGAAAACAATAGTAAGAAGTGGTTCTTCCCTTCCTCCAGGATTTTCTGTCTTCTTTTCTTTCTAGGTAGGGAAACATGAGCACACAGATGGGGCACAGAAAACACACTGCGGGACTTTGATCCACTAACCACTTGATCTCCAGAGTTGATACAAGTCCTGGTCCAACTGGCAAGCTCCTGGCATCAGTACTTCTCTGGCTCGCACCTCCCGGTCTGTGCAAATTGTTTAAGAAAAGCAGGTCAGCAAAACATCACCTGCTATTGTTGGGCAGAGAGAGTGTGTACTCCCCTCAAATAGCTCCTAACCCTCCATGCTTGCATACCTAAAGGAGGTCAAACTCCGTTTGGGTTTGTTTTTGTTTATTCCCCAGTTTTAGAGCCTTTCTGTTCAACTTGCTTTGCAGGGAGGATGGAGGCAAAGGCAAGGGGCTCAGATATAAAGGAAACCTGCCACACACCAAATCCTGGGTGAGCTCTTGCCATCTGTATCACCTTCATTCTCTTCCATGGCATTGTATCCTTCCAACAGCCCACTGAAATGATGGGTACTGAAACTGAGGCCTGATAGGCACAAAAACACTAGTCCCCTTATTTGTGGTTTCAGTTGCCAGCAGTCAACTGAGTTTCTGATATACGAAATTCAAAAACAGACAGTTCCAGTTGCATGTGGCTGAGGATAACAAAATTTTGTACCATCCTATTCCATTCCACCCCAAACATGAATCACCTCTTCATCTAGCATTTGCAAGCTGTGTATACTACCTGCCCATGGGCCACTCAGTAATCCAGTATTTCTACACTGTGTGTATATACTATCTGCCAGGGATCATCACACATCAACTGTAGTAATATAGTTCATTTTACTTAATAATTCCAAAGTGCAAACACAGCAATCAGGCAGTTAAGGTATCAGAGAGAAGCCATAAAGTACTTCCCTTAAATGAAACTTTATTTTATACACACAAAGTTTATTTTATAAACTTTATTTTATTTATATATAAATATATAAAATATATTTTATTTTATTTATACAGACACACAGACATACATGTACACACACTATGGTTTTAGATATCTACTAGGGGGCTTGGAACATATCCACCACTACAAAAGGAACACTACTACACTTAACTAGGCATCCCAACAGTAAATTCAAAGCCAAAATTCCATCCACTCTACCACCATTCACTGTTCCGCCCAGCAAATATCACTTTTCCCATACTGAGAATCTAAACTCTGAGGTTAGAACAAGCCAGGAACAGAATCAAAAGAGAAAGTGAAGCTGGGGTGGTGGGCTGGTGAAGTGCTTTATAATCCCAGCTGGCAGGAAATGGAGACAGAGGATTGTGAGTTCAAAGTCTGCCCTAGCTACAAAGAGAGGCCACTCTCCCCAGGAGAGGAGGGGGAGGGATGGGATTAAATTCCTGCAGCAGAGAAAGGGTGGGGGTTGTCTACAGCTTCTCCTGGGAGGCATCTTAGATGGCTCTGTCCCACCTTCCCAGGGTCCTAGCAGTCTTGGTTCCAGGCCCAGATGGGAAGATAAAGAGAGGGAGAAGGGGACTGGGAGGTGGGGGTGGGGTGGGACTGTTCTGGGTTAATGATGTATAAATTCCGTACTCCAGCCATCAGAGTCTTCCAAGTCTTTGGCTTCTTTTATTCTGGGTCCAGACTAAGGCCCGAAAATTGTAGTGGTCATAGTATATTTTCAGGGGCTTAGTGGGATCTGTAAGAAGAATGCCATGGAATCTTCCTAATGCAGTTTCTGATCCACGGAGCTTAAAAGCCAAAAGTCTTATCAAATGCCATCTGGTCTACTAACAGAGGAAAATCACAAGTTCAAGGTGTCAATAACTGAGATGGAAATGGGCTTCAGTGAGCATGAAATTAAATCAAACAAAGGCATGGAAAACTTTGAAAAATGCTTTCCCATACTAAATGGAAACCACGGAGATACATATGAACAATTCCTCGATGTCTAACTTTTTGCCCCTTTTCAAATCCTTTCAAAGAGCTGAAAAATTTAGGGACAGTAACTTTTCAAACAGCTTCACAAACAAATAATTCATAATGTCTGAGCTTTTAACATTATTTTTACCATTACACTTACCTAAATTGTGACTTTTAAAAGAGGGCTCTTGTGGTTTCTTGTAAATGCGATAGAAAAAACAAACAGCAAAAACCAACTGTGGCATGGAGACAAGCACACATGAACATATTGCAGAAAACCTCTGTGCTCTAAGACCTCAGGCTGGTGATGTGAGGTTTGTTAATAAGGAGTTGTTAATAAGGCACAATAGTGCTAAAATGAAGCCTTTCAAACCTAAAAGTACTGCCCATCTGTAGCAGGCTGTTTCTTTGGGTCACCAGCACACACACACACAAAAACTACATGGAGGCTTACTATTAATCATAAAAGCTTGGCCTTAGCTTAGGCTTGTTTCCAACTGGCTCTTACAACTTAAATTATCCTATATCTTTAAATTATGTTCTTTTACATGGCTTGGTTACCTTTTCTCTGTACTGCCCATAAGGTTTCCTTTCCATCTGTTTGGCAACTCTGCCTGATTTCTTCCCAGCATTCTCTGCCCCTCAAATCCTGCCTACCTAATGGCAATTCAGCTTTTCATTAAACCAATCTGAGTGATACATCTTCAAAGTATACAAAAAGATTATTCCACAACATTTCCCCTTTTTTCTGTCTAAATAAAAAGACAAGGTTTTAACTCTAACATAGTAAAGCTACATGCAATAAGAACAATTATCAGGTAAGAATTACATTTACCATGTCCAGTCCATTTGTATTTGGCAAAATTTAGTTTCTGTCATGACTAAGGGAAACTGTAACTATAACTATCTAGTCTTCAACTCCATCAGAGACCTGAGAAAGATATAATATTACCTGAGTAAACAGGAAGTGCAGTTCAAGCCACTTCCAAAACTAAGAAATGACAGAGACATCTGGCTGCTTGGACAGTCACTCCAAGTTTCCTCTGCAATGTTGGGGCATCCATCTTTGCCATACAGGCCTAGGACATCAGACAGACTTTTCTCTGAAGCAGGAATTTTGAAGAACCGTTCTGCCTTGTTTGGGCAAAGTTCAGTAGTCACTTTCCTGTGTGTCCTGCAGAATGTCTGGTTGACATTTCTATGAAGCAGGAATTTTGAAGGAATGTCCCACTTTATCTTGACAAAGTTCAACAGTCTTTTTCTTTTGTTTCTTGCTTGTCCAGTTAGTACAGTATACTGTCAGCAGTCAAGACAACAGCAGTTTCTTGTCCAAATGACTCATTTTGTCACATTGAAAGCAAACTCCATATGGAGGTTCTTCAATGCCCATCAACCTTTTATGAAGTGTATTGGTGCTGCCAGGAGCATACCTGTCTCATTGTCATGAAAATTCCTGTGTTACTACAACATTTTAAATGCCATATCCTGTAGGTCTTTGAAATGTTTGAAGATCACCTATCTATCTAAAATGTATTTCTGTCTGACCTTGAAAACACACCTAATATGATGTAAATTTGATGTTATAGATGACTATTAACCTGTATTTCTTTATTATCCTAAATAGTTTTCAAGGACTAGAACTTTATATACATTTATAAATGAGCTGCATAGGTATAATACATTAAATACGAACTAGAAACATAATACAGTATAACAAAAACCTTAAATCTGTATCAATATACAAAAAAATACCAATGTAAAATATTTAAGACTAGTAGTTGATTTTTTTAGTTTAAAAGTAGATTCAATAATCCACCCTTTTTTTTTTCTTTTGGTTTTTCGAGACAGGGTTTCTCTGTGTAGCTTTGGAGCCTATCCTGGCACTCTGGAGTCCAGGCTGGCCTCGAAATCACAGAGATCCACCTGCCTCTGCCTCCCGAGTGCTGGGATTAAAGGCGTGCACCACCAACGCCGGCAATCTACCCTTTTACCCTACCATTTTATACTATATCCCCCTCTTCCCTTCAGAAAGAGAGCTCTGAATATAATCTCCTTTGTTTAGCTTTTTTTCCTTGACCATGACCAATAACAAATTGTAGCCAACATCCCTAAATGATGACAAACATCCATAACCCACTAAACAACCAAAACCTATCTACCCCACTTCTTGGGAATGTGGGTATCATGTTCTCTAGAGTGCTTCCTGTTGTCTGGGGATGATGGCATCATTGGGGGCACCCTAACAAGATTGGGATAATGGTCAAGTTCTGGGAGCACTAGTAACATTTGTTGTCCAGTCTGTGCAATGGGAAAGCAAAGGCTTATCTGCAGTCCTGGCTGGAATAGTCAGTGAGACTAGACCATCTCAGCCAGCCTTGTAGCTGTTCTGGATGTAGAACGCTGAGGAAACTGCAACAGAGGCACCCTGAGAAGCTGAATCACCTGGGCCCCCATTTTCACTGGTGTCTAATCCCCTTGCACAGAAAACACATAAATTTTCAAAGGTAACATACATATCTGCATTAACACAAGTATGGACTGTGCATTGTACACTAGCCAATTAAAGATGAGGTTTTTTTTATGTTTGAGTAGGTAAAATACACCTTACCTATTTCATAGTTATTTTAGGTTTAATTCTTTTATGTCTGTAGTCAGGATTTCAAGGGGAGTTCCCCTAATCAAAACTGTTCCTTTTAACCTTGAACTAATCTACAGCCTGCTGTTTGCTATGGAAACAAAAGCATAACCTCTTCTCCAATGTAATATATCTTTTTACTTCCATTTTGAAGGTAAGACATTTTTAAAATATATAGTTGGCTTAATGTTGTAGTATTTATAATCCAATGCCTCTTAGCAGCTATTGCTTGCTCATCAGCAATCAAAAACTTTAAAGTAAATACAATACTGTACAGGATCCAGACTCCCTGTGTATTTCCCATGTCTACATAGCTTATTCTTTTTTATATAATTTGTAAACTATTTACTGTTTTCTATGCCTATCTATACACATTTTCTTTTCTTTCTTAAGCTTAATCACATTTTTAAATACACTGTAACCTGTAACCTGTTTGAAGTTTTTTCCCCATCTGAACCTGCTTTACTGTGTATCTGTACCCTTTTCTGCCTGTGAGCAAAATCTTAAACCTCAGGGCAGCACAGCTGAGGACATGGCATACTGGCAGCTCAAGCCCACAGTCAGCAGCCAGGAGACATGTCTTTGTACCGAAACCCACATCAGAGATTGCAGGACTAAGAAGCTGTGTTTGACTTCATTTTTGTGTGTTTTAAAACTTTCTTAGGTCCTATAAGGAAAAATATGCCCATGTCAGGTGGCATTTGTTGCAGGATTTTTCTATGGGCTGCCAGATCACAAAAAAAGATAGTAAAGTAAGGAATGGTTACATAAGAAACTTATACACTTTTTGTCCATAAAAATGAAATAATGAAAATGTACTTCTATTTTTGTGTTTTATTGCTAATAATAGATACTATTTGATGCTTTTTCTTTCCTTCTTGAAAAAATTTAAGCACAATAGCCTAGGTGCAAATTCCTTTTACTCATGTGAAAGTAATATGCACACTATGAACAATTTAATTGCCAAAATTTTGATCTTTTACCTAAATATTCAAATTTTCCCTGATTACACAACTTAAATTTCTTGTACAATTTTTGAACCATGGGTTCCAAGAGATAATGAATAAACAAACAACAAACAAAACTTTAGATAATTATTTTCCAATGTTCGCAACTCAGTATATCTAGCAGGTAGTTCTCAGTCAAGAAACCTTCTGATAATTTTCTCTTTCACAAGACCCCTATATCCCATAGGCCCTCACTGATTCATACCAACCCTTACACACATCTTGAACTGCTCATTC